AATGGCATGCAGAGAGGGCTCACGACAGCCGATCTCGTCGCTTCGGTCAAAGCAGTCCACAATCGCGTCGCACCTGCCGGTTATCGGGACGCATCGGCCGTCGCCGCATCGGAATTGGTCCGGGCGACACTCTGAAACAAAGCCGTCAACGCGTCCGTCATCGAAATCAATCGGATCCCTGCTGCAAATTTCGGGAACCTACCACAGCCGGCCTCATCGGACCGATCGGAGCAGTCGGGATATCGATCGCATCGACGTCGCTCGTCGATACAAGTCCCATCACCGCATCGAAATTCCCCTTCCCGACAAGCTACTCACGCACACACACCACCAACAAATCGTGCCATGCAAAATTAACCAAGCAATTCACTCTGTTAAAAGGATTAAGAACTCACTGCAGCCCCGTTCGTCGGTCCCGTCGCGGCAGTCGCGATACCCGTCGCACCTACGTCGCACGTCGATGCACGTTCCATCCTCGCATACGAACTCACCGGCCGAACACGCTACAACCACCGAGCCAGACCTGAGCAAATTTCCCCCAGACTCGACGTCGTGCCGATTTCTGCACGGTTTTACCTGGGCAGTCGTATTCGTCCGAGAGATCGGGGCAGTCCGGGCGGCCGTCGCATTGCCGTCGTCTGTCGATGCAGGTTCCTTCTCCGCATCTGAATTCCTCTGACCCACAAGCTATCCCACGATTCATCCCACAATTCATTACATTTAGAGCAGAAGGCTGTGGGGGGTTTTAAGTCGTTACTTAAGGGCTCTTACAGCATCCGATCTCGTCGGAGGCGTCTCGGCAGTCGGGATATCCGTCGCATCGCCGTCGCACGTCGATGCACGTCCCGTCGTGGCAATTGAACTCCGTTTGCGCACAAGCTACTAAATTCCAATCTCCCAATATTTCTGTAGCTATCGATTCCCCTTCGAAAACGTTCCCAGGACTTACCATGGCATCGAGCCTCGTCCGAGCCGTCGGAGCAATCCGAGTAACCGTCGCACATTTTTCGCAAGTCCACGCAGCCTCCGACGTTGCAAGGGAATTGGTTAGGTCCACATGCTACACAATGCCCAGTCACCGTTAATGCTCGTCATCGAGCCAAACAGTACAGAGTTGGTTAGTACCCTCACCACAGCCCTTCTCATCCGAGGCATCCGGACAGTCTGGATAGCTGTTGCACCTTCGTCGCACGTCGATGCAGGTCCCATCCGAACACGCAAATTCATGCAGGTCGCACCCTGAACACGACACGGTCACTTCATTCCAAGTTTTAAAGTATTAAGAAAAAATTTTTTTTCCGTTCTCACCGCATCTCTGTTCGTCAGATCCGTCAGGACAATCGTAAAACGAGTTGCATCGCCTTCGTTCGTCTATGCAAGTCCCATCTGTGCATCTGAACTGATCCCTTCGACAATCTCCTACGGAACGTTCTCACCGCATCTCAGTTCGTCAGATCCGTCAGGACAATCGTAAAACGAGTTGCATCGCCTTCGTTCGTCTATGCAAGTCCCATCTGTGCATCTGAACTGATCCCTTCGACAATCTCCTACGGAATCATCCTCACATTTAATATTCATCACAAATTCTGTCGCTAGAGAGCTTTAGCGACCGATTTTTCACCGCAGAGAGGCAAGCGGGTTAACTTAAGGTTAAGGTTACGGTTCTATCAAACAATTTACTTCTACAAAGGACTGCGCGATGAACCCAAATTTCTATTAAAGGTCCAAGGTCCGTTCGTGATGCGACTATCCGTGTCGATACATCCGACAACAATTCATCGACGTAGTATCAATCTTCACTCGCTAACAAAAACAATTTCTTCCAAGCGCTCCACCGATTCAAAGAAAGAATGTTATGTAAGCAAAATGTAACGTCGGCCGTTGAGGCATGGTTCTCACTCGTTGGGCGTTTAGAACTTTATTTTTATTTTATCTCCCTCGTGGAAAAGGCGCGAATTCACTAACGCATCCAAGTACCGTCTCAAATAATTTTTGGAATTCAGGCTGCGGTGAAAAATGGTGCAGCTAAAGCACGCTATTGATATATCATATAAATTTACGGCAGTTGACTTCGTCGGACTCATCCCGGCAATCCGGGTGGCCGTCGCACCGTCGTCGCTCGTCGATGCACGCCCCGTCACCGCATCGAAACTCGTGCTCCGGGCAAGCTAGGTCATCGTTGGACAGGTTATAACTCGTTCGATAACTCGTTTCGACTCGATCGTATTTATCGTGGAACTCACAGCATCCGATCTCGTCCGACCCGTCGCGACAGTCCCGGTATCCGTCGCAGTGTCGTCGCACGTCAATACACGTTCCATCGCCGCATATAAACTCATCCTTGCGACAATCTAAATCGTCGTCGGAAAGATTCATTAATCGACTAAATTGATTAATTTATTGAGTTTCTTCCGAATGAAACTCACGGCAATCGATCTCGTCCGACCCATCGACACAATCTCGATTCCTATTACAGCGCAGGCTCGCATCGATGCATGTCCCATCGGTGCATCTGAAGTCGCTGGCTCGGCAAGCTATCAGAGCTATTTTCCACGTTCGTTAGATACGAGTCCGCGAATTTGTTGGATCATTTGACAAAATGACGTTGGAGTTTACTCACGGCAATCCGTTTCATCCGATGCGTCAGGACAATCTCTCACCCTGTCGCACCGCCGTCGCACGTCGATGCACGTCCCGTCCTTGCACGTGAACTCGTCCCCTCGACACGCTGCGGAGCAGCTCCTCCGATTTAGCATAAAATCGACTAATTTTAACCTCGATTTTGGGATGTGATTTTTTGGGCAGTGACTCACGGCATCCGATCTCGTCCGACCCGTCGCGACAATCCCGATTCCTGTCGCAGCGTCGTCGCACATCGATACACGTCCCATCGCTGCATGTAAACTCATTCTCACGACAATCTAAATCGTCGTCGAAGAGTCTCGTTAATTAGCCGATTCGATTCATTTGCGATTGCCCTCCCGATGAAACTCACAGCAATCGACCTCGTCCGACCCATCGAAACAGTCTCGATTCCCATTACAGCGCAGACTCGCGTCGACGCACGTTCCATCGATGCATTTGAAGTCGCCAGCTCGGCAAGCTATCAGAGCTGTTTTCCACAAACGTTGAGGTGAGTCCGCGAATTTCCCGGAGCATACGATAGAAAAAACGCCGCCGACGTTTACTCACAGCAGTCAAGTTCATCAGACGCGTCAGGACAGTCTCTGGTCCCGTCGCACCGCCTCCTCACGTCGATGCACGACCCATCCCTGCACGTGAACTCGTCCTTTCGGCACGCTGCAGAGCGGCTCCCCCAATTTAGTCCATTTAATTCGGGATTTTACGTTTTCTCGAGAGATAATCTTTTTTTGGCAGTGACTCACGGCATCCGGCCTCATCGGATCTGTCAGGGCAGTTCGGAATGGCGTCACACCGGCCCTTGGCATCGATACACGTCCCATCGTTGCACGTGAATTCCTCCTCTCGGCACCCTTACCGATTGCAAACCCATACCCGTTTATCAGTGTTCCGATGGGTAACAAAAAAAGTGCTTAGGTAGGCGAAAACTTGTACTTGAGAAAGAAAGCACTAAATACAAAACAAGTACGTTGCGAAAAAAAATAGCACACCGATCGAGTTCTAATGAGGTTGGGGAAGAGGAAGCAATCGATTGTCTACCTTAAACCCAATTTTTCCTGTTTACACTACTTCCAAGCAGCCTTGACTGCTCTATATGACAGCTCATTTATATCCGTCCTTATGTTGTAACTTAAATGCTGCTTCTACTCTTGTGAAACATGTACTTCTACCCATACGCACTCTACTTTCAGCTCTTACTCGGACAATTACGCAGTACTGACTGAGCGGGGACTCCGATCGCCTGGGCGATGAATTTGGCTTCGCCTAACAGACACCACCGATCCGATAGGCCTAGTCCAGCAATAGGTGCTTCTCTTACGAATGATCCTCATCTGGAGGCCCTAACCCCTCTGCGACGACGAACGGTGAACGTCATTAACGCGTGGGCGGGAGGTAGGACGAGGCGCCCGAAAGTGTCAAACCGATTTCCCAATTTTTACATCTTTGGATTAGTTCGCACTTCCCAGAAAACGGGTCGTATCGACGGTCCATGCTTCTGACATCATTTTCTCGCCTTCGTGACACTCATGCCGATCGATATAATTGGGAAGCAGAAACGCATTTTTTAATTCCACGCAAATTTACGTTGTTCCTGGTGAATCACCGACGAGTCGCGCGAACGCGGCCGAGGAATTAATAGTCGCAGTACTCAAGTGCCCATCACTTTCCCCAGTCCTCGTATCTCATCAGCTTCATGGAAAAAAAGGAAATGCTGAACGGCTTTTCCAAAGAAAATTTCCACCCTCATAGCCTACATTCGCGTTGATAAATAAGCTTCAAAATCTGTTTTCTTTTCTGTCGCCTTGATCTTCCACCAGTCCATTAAGGGTCGTATTCCTTTGAGAATCTCAAGCCCCGGAACTAGCACTGAACACGCCGAAAAGTACTTATCATCTAAAGTAAGCACAGAACGACCTAGATACAAGCACAAAGCAAATGTTCTCAGTTACGAGTGCCGCAACGACGATCCAATTCTCCACTACCGTCGCAAAGATCGTCGCAACCATCGTCGCAAGAACGAACATACCAGGGCACCCGAATTCATCCGATCCATCGGAACAATCAGCGACTCGGTCGCAGCGTCGTCGCTCGTCGATGCACATCCCGTCCTTGCACGTGAACTCCGTCTCTCGACACGCTACACGATATCGCTTGTTCGGTACGATCGATTCACAGACAGAAAGCCATCCCAGCCGTAACCGTATGGGTACTTTTTACTTACGACATCCCAATTCATCGGAGTTATCGAGGCAGTCCGGTTTTTGATCGCATCGGAGGGTAACAGAAATACACGTCTTGTCGCCGCACGTGAATTGGTCTTCGCGACAGGCTGTGGCACGGGTAGTTATGGTAGTCGGTTAGTCGGTTACTTTATGACTAAGGCTCGACGGAATCTCAGAGGAAGAGAGGCTCTTACGGCAGAAGTCCTCGTCGGTCCGGTCCTGACAGTCGTAGACGCGGTCGCAGCGACGTTCGCCATCGATGCAGCGATTAACGTCGCACACGAACTGACCCACCCCACACGCTAACAAACATTTCCCGTAACATTAGCATGCATGTTACGAAAACTAGAGCCAAAAACACGGCATGCAAAAAACCCAGAACTCACCGACTTTACAATCGACCTCGTCGGACCCGTCCTCGCAGTCCTCGACGGTGTCGCAGCGCCGATCCGCGTCGATGCACGCCCCGTTCCCGCACGTGAACTTCCCCTCCGCACACGCTGCATCATCGAGTTCCTCGCATTCAGCCGAGAGTCCGACGACGGACCGAGAAGGCAAAAATCGACTTGGAACTTACGGCATCCGAGTTCGTCGGATCCGTCGATGCAGTTGATGACCGAATTGCACCTCAGACTCAAATCGATGCAC